GATAATAATTTACAGATTGCTAAAGTTAACTGGTTAAATTAGCTTCTGTCTTTTGGAGCATAGTATCTCTCTTCAATCGAATCAGGTTCACGATGCCTTTACTGATATATCTACTTTGGTGTTATAGTTATCATTAGTCTAAGATCTGCGGAACCTTTTCTACCTTACTCCTTGAAGTAGCTTGTTCTGGATGGGATTTCACTTTATTTTTCCCCTTGATCTTATTGTTGTGCATTGATGGCAGGAAAGGGAACATGCCCTGAGATCCTTCAAAAGTGGTAACACACCAATCTTGGTTGCAACGGATGTGGCAGCACGTGGTCTTGATATACCCCACGTTGCACATGTTGTCAACTTTGACATTCCAAATGACATTGATGATTATGTCCACCGTATTGGAAGGACAGGGCGAGCAGGAAAAACAGGTTTAGCAACAGCTTTCTTTAACGAGAACAATTCGTCAGTGGCAAGAGCACTGGCTGATCTGATGCAAGAAGCAAACCAAGAAGTACCTGCTTGGCTCTCTCGCTATGCTGCTCGATCTTCACATGGAGGCGGCAAAAATCGTCGTGGTGGAAATCGTTTTGGCGGGCGTGATTTCCGAAAGGATTCCTCTTTCAATCGAGGGGCCACAGACTACTATGGTGGGGGGGGCAATATGAGCAGTGGCTATGGTGCATCTGGTGGTTATGCTGCATCATATGGTGGTGCTGCTGTGATTCTTAGGTATTCTTTTATCAAGAAAATGTATTGGTTGTAGATTTCACCTCTAATGTTGTAATATTACAAAGTCAATGCCAAGTTTTGTATTGTATTACTTTTCTCTCCCGAGTAAGTTCTTGATTTGTTTTTGTGATGTTATTATTTTCATTCATAAGGCAGTGATAGTAACTTTGCATTAGCTGATTATTTATATAACTAATGGTAAGGTTAATTTTTTGCCGGTGAAACGTTAAGAAGGCGTTTGGACATAAAAATTGTAATTTTCGAAAAAAAAGTAGCATTTGAAGTTAAGTTGAAAAGTAATATTTGGAATTTGAAATTATGTTTGGACATGCATTTCACTTGAAAAAATGTTCAAGTTTTGTGACTAGAAAAAAATTTAAAATTTTTAAAACTCATTTTCGAAATAAATTCAAAAACTTAGTAAAATTTCATGGACAAACACATTTTTGAAAGAAAAAAAAAGGAAATTGTTTTTGGGGACAGACTGGTCCTAAATCTTTGCATGCAAACTGGTCCTAAATATTGCAGAAAAAATTGATAAAATTGATTTTATCAATTACCACATATTAAAATGTTTAACAAAAATCCATTTTCTAATGAATATTTAGCTCTTAATTAACTGCAGAAAATAAGCTTATTATATTTTTGTAGCTGTCATTTAACATTTTCATGGAAAAACTTGTGCATCAACTTACTATGTATCACTCATTTGTAATTGTCCCTTTCTTTTCCTTCTTCACTAAAAATGTTGTAAATGTGATGTAGAAATAGGAAGGAACAAGTATCCCCAGTCCAGACTTGTGCACTGACTTGAGCAATATATGGTATGTTCCACAATTACTAATGACTAAAATCAAAGTGAAATATGAACTTGAAAAAGTTTGTCTCTCGTAGCTTTCGTTTGAAATTACCGTGAAAAGACTTGTTCACTGACTTGAACTAAACAACAAGGGTTAGATAGATTGTTTTCGATAGCCCCTTGGCTCAAGCAGACAAAAAAGACAATATATCAGTACCAACAACAAAAAATATAGAAATAATAACAAAATCTTCTATGTTCCATATTTCCAATACAAAATCTGCAAATAGTGAATAAATACCAAATTCTTTCTTTAAATCACAACTTTTATTAAATAACTCAATGCGAAGACAACACACTTCAATTGTAGTAGCTATTAATGACAGTTTCACTTTGATCCCTTTGTTTCTAGTAGCATATTGGCATTTGTTGTTGCAAACACCTACATAGTCTTTCCAATTCTTTGTATTTAAACTCTGTATTTATTCACTTCTCCCAAGTTATTTCCTGTATTTATTTCATTAAATACAAAGTAAACGAGTTAGATACAGAACAATTATCTCAATATTCTCACGCATTTTACTATAGAAATGAGTTTAATACGAATATATACCCGAAAGCTTTTAACTTACTTCTTGTGCCTTTCGAAACTGTTTTAGACACCATTATTCCCCCTTCTGTAACGCTTTTGTCCTTGCAGCTTCTTTCGCCTTTTGGCAATGATTATGAATTCTAATTTTTCAACGATCCATGAAAGCCAATTTGGATTTCGAGAAGAAAGCATGAAATATGCGATGGAGAATCCAATAATTAGTCCACTCCCATATCCCATAATGTCACGACCCTAAACCGGACCCAGTCGTGATGGCACCTATCGTGAAACAAGGCCAGTCGACACAAACCCCCAAAAATATTAACAGTTATAATAATTCATAATTAAGTCATTAATAAGTGATAAATCTCAAAATTGAGAGAAATAGAACAAATGCGGAAACAAACACAGCCCGACATCGGAGTGTCACCAGTCATGAGCATATAAACATCTGTTTAAGAGTATGAAAGACACTACACAATCTATTACAGAACTAGTACAAAGGAATGTAAGATAAGAGGGAGAAGCACTGGGCTGCGAACGTCGAGCGACTACCTAGTGAACTCCGAACAGCCTGTTAGAAGCAATCAGCCCTCGCTAGCGGGACCCGAGGCTCCTGAATCTGCATACAGGGTGCAGGGAGTAATATGAGTACGCCAACTCAGTAAGTAATAAAAGTAAAGGCAGCTGAGCGATAAGAAAACACGTAAAACACAGAAAAATGCTACAAAGAGGCGGTATAAGACCATTACAATGCAATAAAACAGTGAAAATTGTAAAAACACCTTAGTTCAATGAAATCCTCTTTAAAACATCTTTTAGTAGTTCAAACGAGTAAATAAAAACAGGAAGAAAAGATAGATACATAAATCAGCCCCTCGGGCAAAATATCAACAGAATCAACCCCTCGGGCAATAACATGGAACAACATCAGCCCCTCAGACTATATCACATATCACACTGGGTACCCTCGCTCATTAGGGGTGTACAAACTCCGGAAGGGCCCCCTTACGGCCCAAACACAATAACAAGCCATCTCGTGACATAATCAACAGGCTCTCGACCTCGTATCAAGCCACCTCGTGGTGTAATAACTCAGGCCTTCAGCCTCATAATCATGAATCTATGTGATATTGCTGCGACACGTAGCCCAATCCCATAGTATCCTCACAACATAGGCCATCGGCCTTACTCAGTCAGAATCTCACAAGCCACTTAGGCAACAGTAAAACATGATGCTCAACCCAAAATATCATTTAAAATATTAAAAACGAGTAAAGATGGCTGAGTTGTGAAAATAGTAGAATATAGCATGACTGAATACAAATACGAAATCAAAACAATGATAATAGTAGTACAAATTCCCTAAGGGTCCCAAACAGTTGGCATGAGGTCCAAACATGGCATTCAGCCCAAACATGATGATAGCAAACAGTTTTCAATCAAATACGCAGTTAAACAGTAATACGAGACGGACTAAGTCACAATCCCCAATAGTGCACGACCCCACGCTCGTCATCTAGTGTGTGCGTCATCTCATAGTAGCACAACGATGTCAAATCTGGGGTTTTATACCCTCAGGACAACATTTATACTTACCTCTATCCGGTCTAAACACTAGCCCACAATGCCTTTGCCTCTCGAATCGGTGTCCGGATGCTCCAAATCTAACAAAAAATCAGAACATAACCATCAAAATATGCTAACGGAATAAAGCCCACTCGAAGAAAATCAAATTACAATACCAATCCTGAAATTAACCAAAACCCGACCCCCGGGCCCATGTATCGAAATTCGATAAAAAATACATTAATAAACTCCTTGTCCTCCCACGAGTTCATCCATATCAAAAGTACCAAAATCCAACCACAAATGATCTCTCAAACTCATACTCAAAGGTCTCCAATCTCAAGCCCTAGTTTCTTCAATATTTACCCGTAAATTTCCATAAATTTCAAGCCTAATCAATGAAATAACACCATAGGAATGAGTTGTATGATAAAAAATCTTACCTCAATGAAGGTCCCTCTGATTCCTTTGCCAAAATCCCCCCAAAAGCTCCAAAATCGATTTCAAAATGGTGAAGAAAGACTGAAAATCGCGAATGAGGGTTTATATACTTTCTGGCGCAGGGTATTCGCACATGCGGCCCAATTCCGCTTCTGCACTACCACTTCTGCGATCAAGCACATCGCATCTGCGGTTTTCACTTAAAACCTCAACTCCGCACCAGCGATCGGACATCCGCACCTGCGATACCGCAGGTACGCTCAAGCAGCCGCTTCTGCGGTTCCAGCTTCCTATGGCCATTTCTGCATCTGCAACCCACTGAGCGCTTCTACGAGACCGCATTTGCGGTCCCCTAGCTGCAGGTGCGGTTATGACAACAATAGGAAATCTTCAGCTGTCAAAACCCAACTCAAAATCTTCCGTCAACTATCCGAAATCATCCTGAGGACCCCGGGACCGCAACCAAAAGTACAAGCAGGTCGTATACCCCTATCCAAACTTTCACCAATCTTCAAAGCACCTCAAACAACATCGAATCAACCAAATCACATCTGATTCAAGCCTAAGGTTCCAAAAATCTTTCGAATTTCGCTTTTAATCAAAAAGTCTATCAAATAACGTCTGAATGACCTGAAATTTTGCATACACATCCCAAATGACAAAACGAAACTACTGCAACTCTCGAAATTCCATTCCGACCCCTATACCAAAATCTCACCTATCCACCGGAAAATGCCAAAATTCCAATTTCGCCAATTCAAGCCTAAACCTACTACGGACTTCCAAAACATGTTCTGATCACACTCCTAAGTTCCAAATCATCTCTCAAAGCTATCCGAACAATCAGAATTCACATCTAAGCCCTTTTCTACATAAGTCAACATTCGATTGACTTTTCCAACTTAAGCTTACTCAAAAAAGACTAAGTGTCTCAAACCTTACCAAAACCTCTCCGAACCCGAGCCAACCAACCCGATAACACATAATACCGCTGAAAAAGACAATAAGAAGTAGAAATGGGGAAGATGGAGCGGTAACACATGAAACGACCAGCCGGATCGTTATATCCTCCCCTCTTAAACAAACATTCATCCTCGAATGGGTCAAGAAACATACCTGAAGCCTCAAATAGGTGAGGATATCTGCTCCGCATCTCCCGCTCGGTCTCCCAGGTAGCCTCCTCTACCGGTCGACCTCTCCACTGCATTTTCGCTGAAGCTATATCCTTTAACCTCAACTTTCGAACCTGACGCTCCAAAATGGCTATTGGCTCCAAATTATAAGTCAAATCATCATCTAACTGAACCGTGCTGAAATCCAAAACATGAGACGGATCCCCAATATACTTTTGGAGCATAGAAACATGAAATACTGGATGCACACTCGATAAGCTGGGTGGCAAAGGAAGCTCATAAGCCACCTCCCCAATCCTTCGAATCACCTCAAAAGGCCCAATGAATCGAGGACTCAATTTACCTTTCTTCCCAAATCTCATAACACCCTTTATGGGTGAAACCTTCAACAAAACCTTCTCACCAACCATATAGGACACATCCCGAACCTTCATGTCAGCATAACTCTTTTGTCTCGACTGCGTTGTACGAAGCCTCTCCTGAATCACCTTCACCTTGTC